TGAACCCCTCGTGTACGCGAGGTTTCTGACTCTCGGGGACGTGGGTGTGACAGAGAAAGTAGAGGAAAGTTTCCTCCTCCTACAGAGGAAGTGGGGCAAAAGGAGGTTTACAGTTGTTTGTATGGAAAATAATACGATTAATAAAGAATAATACAAGAATAAATTCTGTATTTTGTATACTTACAACTGCAAACTTACTTTTTCCTCTACCCTATATATAAAAATTTAGTATCTCACTTTTTAAAAAGCATCTCACATCACTGGGGAAATAAATTCAATAAATAGTACTGGGACAACTGACTCCATAAGCAAAAATATAAAAATAAAGAGAAATTAAGAGCCCTACTTTATCACAGATACATACACTCCAGAGTGATTATGGACCTAACTGCCAAAGCAAAATTGTAGGAGTATTCACAGAAAATACAGAGTATGCATATGACCTTAGAGAAGAAGGCCTTTGACAAATTCTGTTGTTGAAGCCAAATAAACAGGTCTTGCCCTGGAGGAGTCCGAAGCCTGGGGGCAGAGCACGCACGGAGCTACAGAGGCACCGAAAGACCCGATCCGGACTGGGCCCAGGAAAGGCAGTTGTGAAAGGAGAGGAAGGGTTATCCAGACAGAACAGAGCACACCCCTGGGCTCTGATGGCCGCCTTTACCTCTAAGGGTCCGGAGAAGCCCCCCGGGCATGCCAGTCTCCACCCCAGAGCTGCCCTACGGGAGACAGCTCCGCCGAGTTCACTCTGGTCCGGGACCGGCAGGGGCACCTGCCACAGCGCGTGGACCAGGCCGATCCTGAAGACAGACGCGGACTGCACTGTTCACAAGGGACGATGTCACCAACCCACCTTGGCGCCGAGGATAAAGCGTGGGTCAACTGAAATGGTAACTTGCAGGCAGATGACTCCAATTCGACCACGGCGACAGGTTACTGTGCTGCAAGGAGTGTGCTCCTGCTGTGTATGCACACGTGCAGCTTTAGAACAATGATGCTGCTGTGATCACCTTTCAACCAATGTAGCTGTTATTCATGACCAATTGGCTAACTTAACGCTCACGAAATCTCCGAGATATACTAGATAGGCACAGAACAGAAATGACACTGTAGCCATTATGACAATACCACAAGTGTTTCTGGAGCATTTCACACTGTTGACCATCTCTGCTTCTTGAATTTCTCAGTTTCTATGTAACCACATCATGTGGTTGACTTCTCTCCTTTATCTACTTTACTGTCTCCTTCACTCAGCTCTCTGCTAGGTTTCATCTCCTGGCTATGTCTGAACCCAAAAGTATTTGTCATCTACTGTTACTTTAAAATACCAACTTCTTTGAAGACCTACAATATCAACCATTACCTTCAAACAAAATAATTTCAACAATTCTGGCTGGGACTTTTTAAAAATTCCAGTTCTGTATCACTGTCTTGAATTTTCTGTCTCTTATGCAAATAAATGTAACAGGTCTCAAATGCACACACCTTTCTTTAAACCCACAGTACTTATCTTTCCCACTCCATTTAAAAAAACACCCACCCTTCCTGAACTGCCTAAGCCAATGGGTCCGTGGTCTCGCTCACCTATCCATGACATTCTAGCTCTTCTGTTACAAATCTTTTCCAGTCGCCTCTCATCAAGTTTTTCCTGTTTGTCTCTTTTCTCCCCTCATCCTGACCAACCAAACTCTCAGGTGCCGATCACCTCTATACTTAAACCTGCCTCCTTACTTCCAGTCTCTTCCTTCCTCCAAACCATTCTGAACATTTTGATGGATGAATTTCTCTGAAACACTATTTTAAAGTTGTCACTCTTTTCCCAAAAGCCTGTTAAAGGGTGAATAATAACGCCAAAGATGTCAGCTATTTAGGAACCGAAGAGTTGGCTTCAGTGTGCAGCCAAACTGCCTTCTCCAGTATTTAAAGTCTACTCTCAGAAAAACCCTCCACTCAGACTTTGCCCTGAAGCCGCGCAACTACACTTTTAGAGAGAAGAGTAAGCAATGTGTTTTCTACTCCAATCATGCTGGGGTTTTTTGTTGTTGTTGTTTGTTTCCCAATTGCAAAGCAAATACTTAAGTTCTTTATTTTACTTGAGTTCACCATGCCATTCACAAATCTGAGCTAACCTTTTATCATTTCCTACCAGCCACCCCCACGAAGTCTAAGCTCAAGCCACAGCCAACTACCAGACTTTCTCAACACACTGTTTTTCAGAGTCTGTGCTTCTACACCCTGTTCCCTGCCTCTACAACCTTTTCCTGGACTCTGCTTTGCAATGTTTGTAACTGGGAAGAAACATCTTTTCTGTGAAACTCCCTCCCACTCTCACAAACACCTCTGCTCCCAACGTACTTGTATGACTAGTTTCCTAATAAGATTCAGAATGCTGGACTGTAATTACTTGTTGATATCCTCAGAATCTAATATATTCCAAGGCACATAACAGACAAGTAAGAGTGAGTTTTAAAAGACCTTCTGATACGGCCATATTATTCTAGTCCCTGCCACTGGATTATTCCGTATGAAGAGGCAGTCTAGTACCATGGTTAAGAGCCGCAGTCCGAAGCCAGGCTGTCTAGGTATGAATCCTGGATCTACCGTTTATTAGTCATGTGTAACTGGGTAAGTTAATAACTTTGGTAATTGCTGGCCCTTTCCACAAGACCTCTATTTGGAATGGGCTCCCTGCATTCCTCCCTTTACCTAAATCCTACCCAGGTTTCCAAGCTGACCTCTGGTAAATCCTTTGAGCATTCCCCCGGCTTCAAGGATCGCTTCCTATTTTAAATATCTGTGGCATTCTCTGTATCACTCCGCATTTAATTAAAATGCCTTGCACTTTGTAATTTCTTCGTGTTTGTTGATTCAACTTCCATAAACTCTCTGAAGGCCCTGATGACACCTCACATCTGTGTGAGTTCTCACAGCCAGCAGTGAGTGCTTAGTATTTGTCTTGTAAACAGTACAATTCAGTGGAAACTTCAACCTGGATCAGACTGCCTTTGCAATCAAAGAAACGGAGAAGATGGAGAACATTCCAAACTTCTCTAGGAGCCGAGCTACAAATGTCCTGGGGTCAGGGAACTCTGACTCCCAGACTCCGAAACAGCTCAGAGGGAAAACAAAGTCCTGCAGAGGGTTCTGAGCCCTCCAGCTCCCAAACCCAGGGGCAGCAGGGTCCTCCAGGAGACCTGCGGGCACGGTGAAGGGAGAGTACCGGGCCTGGAGGTCAGAGACCGAGGTTCACAGGGGCACAGCCTCAGTTTCCTTCTCTACAGATGAGCCCTGTAACACCTACGGCACAAGTACACAGTAACTGACATGCACCCTAACGGTCAGCTGATATGCAAACATCCCTGGGAATCTGAAAAATAAACCAAAAACACTGCAATTCATAAATGAAAACGAGAACACTCAACACACTTTTCATTGCATAAGGAAATGGATTAAATTAGCCGGCAGCAGTATTTACAATATTCTAAGTTACCAATGAGAAAGCTAAACACGTACAGCATTGCCAATGATAGTCTCGAAAGGTGGAAAAATTCCACTGCAAACTGTATCCTGCTTTTCTGACACCTTCTCCCTCCCGCAACTGTTTCCTCCCACTTGTGATTAAAACAAATGTTCAAAATTATCCCCAAGAGATAAGCACTGAAAAGCACAATTTCACTTCGGATGAAGTTAGTTCTCTGAACGGCATGTCAGTTTAGAGTCCCAGAACACCTCCACATAGGGATGACCATGAACTCAAGGAATTAAGACAACGCCACGGGCTCAGGTGATGCTCCGGGCCAGTTATTTCCAACTCAGAGCCCAGTCTGTGAGGGGTGTGGGTACTAGAGGGTTCGTGCTGGGCTCCAACAGTTCCCTGAAATCAGCTCAGTCTGGCAATCCTACACAATCCCACACAATCCCACACATTCCTACACAACCCTACATAATCCCATACAATCCTACAATCACACAACCCTACACAACCGCAGAAATCCTACACAATCCAACACAACCCCAGAAATCCTACACAATCCCACACATTCCTACACAACCCTACATAATCCCATACAATCCTACAATCACACAACCCTACGCAACCCCAGAAATCCTACACAATCCAACACAACCCCAGAAATCCTACACAATCCAACACAACCCCAGAAATCCTACACAATCCCACACAATCCCACAACCCTACACAATCCCACACATTCCTACACAACCCTACATAATCCCATACAATCCTACAATCACACAACCCTACGCAACCCCAGAAATCCTACACAATCCAACACAATCACACAACCCTACACAATCCTACAAAATCCCACATAATCCTACACAATCCCCAACCCTACACAACCCCACAAATCCTGCACAGTCTAACACAACCCCACTCAACCCCACAAATCCCACACAACCCTACGGAATCCCCCACAACCCTACACAGCCCCACACAGCCCCACACAATCAAAGTTCCCCCGAAGCGGGTTTCCTTCTGAAGGACACAACAAAGAACCCAGAGCGCGTCTCCTTCGCCGGGGACAGAAGCGGGGAGCCCGGGAGCGCAGGCGGCGCGGTGCCCGCGGGGGACGCGGGGCCCAAAGCGCGAGGCCGTCGGGGAGGGTGCTGCGGGGCGACAGGCACCTCGGGCCTGAGGGGAGGCGGGGGCCGGGAAGGGAAGCGGGGGCTGTCCACCGAAGAGGCAGATCCCACCGCAGTCGGGGTGTGAGAGCGACGGCGTCTGGACGTGCGCCCGCGGGGTGAGCGGCTCTGCGGGGCGCACGGAGGGCGCGCGGGGCGCTGAGGTCGCGGGAGCGGCTGCGGGCTCCGATCCGGACGCAGGAATGCGGGGGTTTCCGGGCGGGGACCAGGAGCTCGGGCCCGCGGTGGGGACGCCGCCCTGCCGCCCGCCCCGCCGCCCGCCCCGCGGCCCCCGACTGCCGGGCCCCGGGCCGTCCAGCCTCGCCCTCCCGCGGCCCTGCGCTCGGCCCGCCCCTCACCGCAGGCGGCGCCTCGCTCTCCGTGTCCGCAGCCACGTCCCGTCGGCGCCAGGCCGCTCCGGCCCGTCGGCAGGGGCCCGGCCTCCCGCGCGCTGTGCCCGGCGTCCCCTCTCGCCGCCGCTCGGCCGCTCCGTCCTGCGCCGCCCTCCGCAGACGCGGCCCGCGGCCCGCCCCCGGCCGGCCGGCCCCGCCCCTGCGCGCGCCCCGCCCCCGCCGCGCCCCGCCCCGCGCCCCGCCCCCGAGCGGGGCCTTGCGCGCTGATTGGCCGCCGCGGGCCCGGCGCGCCCGTCCATTGGCCCGGCGGCCGCGCACGGCGAGGGGCGGGGCCCGGCGGCCCCGATTCCCGTAACGCGGCTCCCGGCGTCCGGGATTCCGGCGTCGCCCGGGCGGCCGGGATCCGAGGGTCCCACCTCCCGCCCCCGAGCGGGCGGAGGATCGGACGTCGGCTGCTGCGTGGAGCGAGGGGCGGCGCCGAGGCCCGCGTGCCGCCCGCCTGCCCCCGCTCGCTGCGGCTGCCGCGGGAACCGGCCGCCAGGGACCGCAGGCCCCGTGGGGACGGGCCCGGGGCTCCCCAGGGAACGCGGAGGGCTCGGCGACCGCGACTCCGCCGACGCGACCGCAGGAGTCCCGGCAATGAGCCGCGGTTCCTACAGCTAAATTAGCAAGAGGCCGGAGGGCTCGGGCCGTGACCCGGGCGGGGACGCGGCAGGGACCAGTGTTTGCGGTCGTACCTCCGGATCGATGACTAAACCCTGACAAAGAGCCGTCTCCGAACAGGCCCGCCCTCCTGCCCGCCAGGAAAGGGACCTGCAGAGCCACATTGCTCTGTGTGTGTGTGTGTGTGCGCGCATGGGACTGTGTATGCGAGTGTGAGTGTGTGTGCGTGTGAATGTATGCGTGTTCAGTCGCGTGTGTGTGCATGTGTCGTATGTGTATGTGAATGTGTGTGCATGTAAATATGTGTATCCGTGCATGTGTATGTAACTGCAAGGGTGTGCGAGTGTGCACATGAATATGAGTATGTGTGTGCATGTGAATATGAGTTGTGTGTGCAAGTATGTGTGCATGTGTGTGTGCACGTGAACGTGTGTGTGAGGGGGTGGCCAGGGCTTTCTGTGGTAGGCTGCAGGAGGGCAGTGATGGACTGGCACAAGTGACCCATACTTTAGTGTTCTTCATTACATTGAAGATTCAGGTAGAGTAAAACATAACCCAAATTATGATCTCTTAGTTATAATCATGTCATTTTTAAAAGACACAGAAAGGTGAGCCTGCCGTGTGTCTGGTGCTAAAGGAGTCCCAGGCAAGTTTGGGGACCTGTCAGAGACAAGCTCCCTGTGTTCAGTTGCTCCCTGCTACTTCATCTCTAACCACAGGAACATGACTGCGTTGTGTTCTAGCTCTGCCGTTTAGAGAGGTGTTTGTTTTACTTTTATTTTTTTTATCCTCACCCGAGGACACCCTTCCATTTTTTGTTCAGATACAGTGGGAGGGAGAGAGAGGAAGAGAGAGAGAGAAACATTGACGTGAAAGGGACACATCGAGTGGCTGCCACCCGCACGACCAACCAGGGCCGGGGACAAACTGCAACAGAGATACATGCCCTTAGCGGGAACCGAACCCTGGTCTCTCTGGACCGCAGGCCGACACTCCAACCGCTGAGCCAAACCAGCCAGGGCTAGACGTGTTTGTTTTAAAGCAAACTTTTTAGATCTAGCCAACATTTATTTAGGGGAAGTGTCTCTCAACTGAGTGTACCTTCTGGCTCCAAATTGTCTGGGTTTAAATCCTGCTTCTTCCCATATCTGAGCTTCAGCGAGTCTTCTCAGTTTTTTCACCTGCACCGTGAAAATAACAGTACCCTAACCAGATGATTGCTGCAAGGGTTGTGTGAATTAAAATACAGCCCTGGCCGGTTTGGCTCAGTGGTTGGAGCGTCGGCCTGCGGTCCAGAGAGACCTGGGTTCGGTTCTTGCTAAGGGCATGTACCTCGGTTGCAGTTTGTCCCTGGCCCTGGTTGGGTTGTGAGGGTGGCAGCCACTCGATGTGGCCCTTTCACGTCGATGTTGTTTCTCTCTCTCTCTCTCTCTCTCCCCCCCCCCACCACTCTATCTGAACAAAATATAAAAAAAAAAAAAATACAGGCAGTGCTGTGCGCAGAGTGGACGTTCAGTAAATTTCGACGGTTGTCATTGGTGAACGTCTGCTATGTCAGTGCTCCCAAACCTTTTGCGTTGCAGCATATATTGAACACAGTGACGTTCCCTGGCCCAAGGAGTAGACGGGCATACATAACTCACAGCATGCTGCCTTGCACACTGGCCAGAAAAGCAAAGGGCTGTGTTCGTCCTTTAGTGGACATCTTTGCATTGGGTTAGCCCTTCCCTAACCTCTAAGAAATGCACATTTTGTGGGGATGGTCAAACTCCTAGGCTAAAAAGAATGAATCAGAATTGGAGAAAGACTTCAGAATAGCAGAGCATTTCACCCCTTGGCTGGAATTATGTACCTTTGCAGACACCTCTGCAGGGTATTGGCCCTGGAGTGACCACTTGGTCATTAGAAAGCCCTGTCAAAATGCAAAGGTAGTTGGGGCCGTTTTGGATTTTAGATCCCAGAAGCAGAGAGGCAGCGTGAGGACACAGGGTAGGTGGAGTAGGTGAACACGCTGGGGGAAGATGCAACAGAACAAAGGTGATCCATGTGGAAGGCACACTTTGTCTGCCTTGCTATTTGCTTCACTGTGGCCCTGACCGGGGCACTGTTTACTTCCTTGCCTATGTGCAATTGTGTTTCTGAAACTCGGTGTCGACCTTGGAACTGTCCTTGTGTTCACCAACCTAATGATTTCAGCAACCCCAATAATGACTCCAGTAGCAACCTGATCTCACATGTTCTCATCCTTCTTTCAACAGTGATCTTTGACTTCACTCTGTGTCCGAAACCCACACATGTAGCCACACCTTGAATCCAGTCATCCGATGAATTTACTCCACCTGCTCCACAGCCCCCCCCTTCTGCCTTTCCTACTGCCACAGAGTCTGCTACTTGTCCCCTGTGACCTCCAGTCTGTTTTCATTGGTTATCGGCTCCTTCCTACCTTCTCTTATCTTCCTAAACGGAGCACTTTGGCCACTGGTGCCTTCAGTTTCCTTGACCTTCAGCCATATTTACTGAGTCAATATCATTTCCTATTTCCCTTTTCCTTGCACTGCCAGCCCCACCCCAACACTTATTCTTAGTACACACCCTTGTCTCGTTATTCCCTGGAAAAAATCAAAACCATCATTTGTGAGCATCCCTAACTTCTTTCCATATTAGGAGGCAACTCCAGAGTTATCTTTTCCCACTGACAGAGAGGAACAATGACTTTTATTCAGAAGGGCTCCTCCTCCCATGTCCTTGGTTCTACAGCTCAAGGTCAGCCCCCTAGTTTTATCTTGTTCATTATTAGCATAAATCTCTTAGAAAAAAGGTTAAATTATTAACTCAGTGGTGAGTTGGAGACAGCCTTTCTGTATATGTTAAAACCTTTGTGAGCTAATAGCCTCTAATTCACCAAACAGAATTAAAAGTATGTAATTAGTTCAATATGCATCTCAAAACAAAGCAGTTTAAACCACATTGTAATCCACTTAGTAGAATAAGTTTGAGGCAACCTACAAACTTAAGGCAAGTTGTAACCGGATTTCCAACCTGGAAAACAGGAAAAGTTCACTTCGTAGCAATGAAACTAAGCCACCTTATGGCTCCATTTCAAACATGTTACTGAAGCATCATACACATTCCGAAAGAGGAGCAGTTGGTAAGAGCACAACTTGAAGATTGTTCTCAAACTGAACCCAGCCATGTAGCTTGCACCCCGACCGAGAGACAGTGAGTGACCAGCCCCGAAGGCCCCTCATTACTGGAAGGCCACTGTGACCACCTTTCTGACGGCTGCCACCATAGTTTTACGGCTGTCATTTTCAGGTCGAGGCTTTAGCAGACACCTCTTCATGTTGTTAGGATTTGCTGACTTCATTCCGTGTTACTGAATGACCAGTAGAGCCAGAGCTCAGGGCGCTGCGCTGCTCTGGGTAAGGCAGTGGTTCTCAACCTGGGGGTCGTGACCCCTTTGGGGGTCGAACGACCCTTTCACAGGAGTTGCCTAAGACAGAACAGTAGCAAAATTACAGTTATGAAGTGGCAACGAAAATAATTTTATGGTTGGGGGTCCCCACGACATGAGGACCTGTAGGAAAGGGTCGCGGCATCAGGGAGGTTGAGAACCACCAACTCAGATGCAAACAGGCAGGGGAGTCCAGCCTTCGTTGCTCCGACCCCTGGGAGCCCTGTCCCTGGGCCCGGCCAGGTGACCTTGCCGTGCCCCCTTCCACAGGGAGCTTGTCTGCAGAGAAGAGAGGCCAGCGCAGACGTGCCCGCCCTGGGCCCAGGCACACTCCGGCCCGGGCCTGCAGCCTTGCAAGCCCGATGGCTCCTAACACCCTCTCCGGGAGCAGGCACGCTGGCTTCTGTGACCCCGGGCACAGCCAGGGCCCCGCCAGGGCCTTTCCTTGGCTGACCCTCATCTGAAAGAACATGCTTCCGTTCCAGAGCAGGTTCCTGGGCTCCAGGTCTGACAGTTCTATGCAGATAGGTGAGACAGTCCCCACCCGAATATCGTGGGCTTGTAGCACCGGAATGCCCGGCCCCTGGCCTGGGATCTTGATAAACAAGCAATGCTGCTAAAGAAGGGCTTAGGCCCCTGTGTCTGCTCGGGGCCCAGGGCAGAGGCAGCGGCGGCCTCGGGGCTAAGAAGGCCGCCTGGCAACCCACTGGGACAGCCGTGAGCTCCGCTCTGTCTGGAACACCTCCGGGGTTTTGCCCAGCTGTGTTCTCAGTCCGCGAACTCCAAGGTTCTTGCCTGGAGAATTTGTTTCTAGCTGAAGCCTCCACCCCTTTTGAATGTGTTCAACAAGTCAAATATGGGACCTTTGGTTTGAACACCCCCAAGAAGCAGAGACTTCTGCAAACAATAGCATTAAATAGGACTTGTTTTTGGCTCAGACAACAC